GATTTGGACACATATGGACACAGGTTCAACACATTTTCAACACAGATTTGGACACATTGACAGATTGACAGGTTTTTTTGACAGATTTTTGCACACAGGTTTTTTAACACAGTTTTGAAGACAGATTGTTTGAACACTGGTTTTTCAAACACTGATTTTTCAAACAGTTTTGAAGACATTTCTGCACACAGGTTTTGCAAGACAGATTCAAATACAGGTTTTGTTTCACATTGTTTCACACAGATTTTTTCAACACTAGTTTTTCAGTGTTGAAGACTTTTGTTTTCACACAGGTTTTCCAAGGCAGATTCGAAGATAGGTTTTTTTCACATAGTTTTGAACACAGATTTTTGTACATAGGTTTTTGAAGAAAGATTTTTTGAACACTGGTTTTTCACACAGTTTTGAGAACATATTTTTTCCATACTGGTTTTTCAAGATAGATTTGAAGACAGGTTTTTAACAGATTTGTAACAGGTTTTTTCACACAGATTTGGAACACATGTAGTAAATAGAGCACAAATATAACAACATCAATTGGGAACATTAACTATAACGACAAAGTAGGGAACAACATCAATTTGTTCTCAACCAAAAAATAAAGAAACTGAACAATCCAAAAATATATTAAATAAATTATCCAAAACAAAATAAAATTCAAGTTTAGTCACATAAAAGGCATTACAATTGCAAGTTTCCAACTAACGAAAACTACCGCCACAGTCATTGTGGTTTATTTGTACATTGAAGTCAACAAATGAAGATGGTACAGCTCCATAAATTTGATGCGTAGCAGTCATGGATTGTTGAGTTCTCGTAAATCCCGGTATGCCTCCAATACAGTCCGACGGGGTAAGCGATGTGCCAACTCCATAAATCTGAGTTGGGGGATTTATGAAACTTTGTCTTCTCATAATGTCCACACTTGTCGGGGTGAGAGATGTGCCTCCAATAGCATTGACCATGTGTCCCTATTCAATTAAAATGAAATGTTAAAATAAATTGGAGAATAACATAAATTGCTCAATGTAAAATCCTATGATGTATACGTACCGGCACACACATATTATTTTCCATGCCAACCACATAAGGATAAAGCTCTCTACGTACACTACATTCAGGTTGAGATTGACATTGACCTTCACCTTCACCTCCAAGCACCTTAGTACCCTATATTCATAAAAGTTAATGAATGCCTCAAATGTATGACATGATTACAATAAAATATGAGTTGAATAGAGAGTAATGAATACCAATTTACCTTTGATTTGCTATGTTTTCTTTTGCTTGCCTTCAACCGATTCACTATTTGATCTACTTTGGCAACCTTTCTTTTAGTAACTGGACGACCTTTTCGCCGAGCAACCAAAGGACTAAGCAACTTGGTATGACTGATTGCCTGTCTATTAATGTTGCCAATTGAGGAAGATGGTACATTACTAGTAATAGGTGGTACATTACTAGTCGAAGGTGCTACATTACTCCCACCACCTTCATCATCTTTCATCACTTTCGCCTTGATTTCATCCAACCCACGGTCGATAAGTTTTATTTTCCCTTCACAGTTCCCAGCAAATTGTACAATGCCAACCAATTTTCTATTCATCTTCTCATACACCTTTGCATTGAAATCATCCCCAAAGCCAGCGTATGTGGTTTTTATGCATGTGTACCCTCTATCCAAATCTTTTCGCCATCGTGGTAGAATGTATTTATGTGGAACCTCATTTATGCATCTTGCAATGAGCACAACGAGTGAGTGAGCACACATGATGCCCCTAAATTCAAACAACCAGCACATACATTGCACATCATATTCGGTGGAATTATAATAGATAACAAAGTCTACATGCTTCATCTTCCCAAAAATTTCTGTTAAAGTATATCTAGAATATATTACTTTTCATATTTGTCAGATTTTCATATTTCTATAAGTTTTCTTATTCTTAGGGTTTCTTAATTAACACTCTATATAAGTTCTATATATAAGCCACCACTTGTAATAGTTCAATACAATAATGTAATATACAACATTATTTTGGTATGCATCTGTGTATTATGTAGGGTTGCATTATGTTGAATCTGTGTTACTTGTTGGGTTGCAACATATGTTGAATCTGTGTTTTGTTGCTGGTCTGTTTCTGGTCTGATTGCCATTGGTCTGTATCTGTGTTTTGCATCTGATTCTGGTCTGACTCTATATCTGATTGCCACTGGTCTGCATCTGTGTTATTATGTTGGGTTGCATCTGCTGATATAAATCTGTCTTGAAGCTGTTTGGGTATGCATCTGTGGTATTAACAACACAGATGGTTGGGTATGCATCTGTGGTTTTATGCATCTGCTGGTCTGGGTGGGCACTATTGTTGGTTGGTCACTGGTTGGCTCAAACTCTGCTAGTGTTGGTTGGTCACTGGTATATCAGTTGTGTATATCAGTTGGTTTCTTTGTTCCATTTTATTTTAGTCTATCCTTTAGCTTGCTCTTCCTTCTTGCTTTCTCTTGTTGGTTCCTCACCAGCTGGCGCTTGGTGCTTTTTTAGCACCAAGCTCCTCTTTATTGATGTAATATTGCTCCCTGTAAATTCACGAACCATGCCAATTTTACTGTTGTAATGGATTTTGTTTTAAATTTCAAAATTTCAACACTGCTTTGCATGTTAGTAAGTAGAAAAAATTTGTAAAACTTTTTTTAAAAGAAAAAAGTTAAGATATTTGGGAATGCATTAAGTGCACGTATTTGAATCATATCACATTTCTATTTTTTTTCAATATATATATATATATATATAAAAGTGTACATTCTATTTGGTGTGAACGTTGTCACTATTTTTTCTTTCTTCTTGAATATCCTTCACATCTAGTAACTATTACATCTAATAATTATTGTATTTGTTGTTCTCATTCATCAAACTATTCAAAATTCTTTAAAAAAAATTCTTATTCATCAAAATGTTATTCATTAATATAAAATTATAAATACATCCGACCACTAGTATGTACACTATAGAGTTTTTTATTAGAGTAAATTGGTAGAGAGGCGGTGGGGCTAGAGGAGAAGCATTTTGGTGGCATAGGTTGGGGATGGGGTTGGAGTGTCTACTGTATGTGTATACATATGAATCTATAGCTATCTATGTATGTGGTGTGTGGGACTTGGGATTGCATTAGTCAAGAGAAGCCCGTGACCACTCCATCCATTATGACATTTGACAACTACAAGTGCTCCGTCTTCTTTGTTTTTATTTGCCTTACCCATTTTTTATTATTATTATTATTATTATTATTATTATTATTATTATTATTATTATTATTATTATTATTATTATTATTATTATTATTATTATTATTATTATTATTATTATTATTATTATTATTATTATTATTATTATTATTATTATTATTATTATTATTATTATTATTATTATTATTATTATTATTATTATTATTATTATTATTATTATTATTATTATTATTATTATTATTATTATTATTATTATTATTATTATTAACATTATTATTATTATTATTATTATTATTATTATTATTATTATTATTATTATTTATTTTTGTGTTGAATAGATGAGGAGTCTCGTTGTTTCTCTAAGGAGTGGTATTGTTGGGATGGGGCAGATTGAGTGGACCTTTTTCAAAATTATTATTATTATTTTTTTGATTTGTTTAGTCTAGTAGGACCTAAAAGTCAATACTTTTGAAATTTTAAAAAAAAAAAAAAAAGTTAATTAAAGATGAAAAAAAGTAAACAAGAAAGCTATCGATGTCATTGCTTTGTTTGGTTTAGTCTTGGAAAATAGTTTTTCAAAATCATTTGTTTTTCATATTTTTTGTTTTTAGTGATTTTTTTTATTTTATATTTTAGTCAAATATTTTTTACATTTTAGACACATCTAGATTAGATGCATTTAAAAAGTAAAAAAAAAAACTGACCTAAACATGAAAAAACTCACTAAAAGACAGAAGAAAATCGCAAAAAAAAATTTGTGATTTTCTTCTGTCCTTTAGAAAATTTTTTCATAGGTCAATTTTTAAAAATTTTTTTAGTACCTCTTTTTATTTGTGTCAAAATTTTTTACTTTTTAGGTCCGTCTAATCTAGAAGAATTTAAAAAGTAAAAAAAAAAAAAAGTTCACTAAAGACGAAAATAAATCAACAAACTAAAAAGCTTAAAAAAACTTATTTCATCTTTTATAACAACACTTAAATATAATTATTTGTTATTTTTTTTAAGGAGATTTAAGCCCACTGCGGTTGGAAGAATCTAAAGACCGATGTAGTAGTTACCAATATCTGACTTGCCCCTTTGAAGACACAACAACCCGACTGATTATCAAATGGGTTAGGCCAACTCTGCAAAAGGTGATGAATCCACAACTCCACCAAAATGAACACCCTTCTTTAGCTTGTAATCTCTCTCTTATATAGTGGGTGTTTAGGAAGTTACTATTTTAGTTTTTAGATATTTTAGGAGACTAAAATTTTTGTGTTTGGGAAGATAGTTGGATTTTTTTGTAGTTGGATGTGATGTTTGTGAGAGAAAAAGTGAAATGATTATGGGTGTGATGTAACATTTTGTCTTGTTGGTTATTTTAGTCTATTGTGTCTTTTAATGTTATTTTAGTCAAAAAAAACTGAAAAAGCTTCTTCCCAAATACCCCCATAGACTGGTCCGTATGGCAATGCAACAGATTGAAGTGGAATGGGTCTATTTATAGGCAACTTGGGCCTCTATGAATTAACACAAATATCATGGTTCATAATAGGGCTGAGCAAGGAATCCATATAATTCGTAATTCAATTCGGTCCAGTCCAATCCGATTGGGCTAGTTTTTTGAATTCGTGATTCGATTCCGAATTAGAAATTTAAAAATCTATAGGCCATGGATCGATTTCGGATTGAAACTGATTAGGATCGTATACATTTAGTCTATGTTTATACCATATACCTTCCCATATAAAAGCTAAATACTAACCCTAATTCACTTCCCACGCCGCTCTCACTCACTAACTGCTGCTTCTCACACTCTCATCTCTCTCGGTACTCTTTTTCTCTTCTCTTTTTCAGACACTCTTAGATCCTCTATCTCCGATCATCATCCATCTCAGATCGGCAGTTGTAGCTCTCTCTCTCTCTCGGTGAGCTCCATCCCCATCGCTATATGTATATGTATATATTATATTTTATTTTTGTGGGAATCATGTTTTGTTTGTTGGAAAAATATTTTGTTTGTGTGGGAATCATGTTCTGTTTAAGGAAAGGGAATCATATTTGATCAAAAATGTTTTTCTATTCAAATTTCTTTATTCATTTTTGTTTTTGTGGGAATCATATTTTCTTTTTGTGGGTTTCTTGTTATATGAGCATGTTCTGCTTCGTATGTATGTTCTGTTTGATTGCCCTAGATTTGTTTTTGTAGGAATCATGTTCTGTTTCTTATGAGCATGTATGTCTAGCCCCAGATTTGTTTGATTTCATATATGATCTATTTGATTCATCTAAGATCATCCATCTTATTGATCAAAAATGTTATTTTATTCAAATTTCTTTATAAATTTTTGTTTTTGTGGGAATCATATTTTCTTTTTGTGGGTTTCTTGTGTATATGAGCATGTTTTGTTTGATTGCCTCAGATTTGTTTTTGTGGGAATCATGTTCTGTTTCTTATAAGCATGTATGTCCAGCCCCAGATTTGTTTGATTTCATATATGATCTGTTTGATTCATCTCAGATCATCCATCTTGTTGATCAAAAATGTTATTATATTCAAATTTCTTTATACATTTTCGTTTTTGTGGGAACCATATATATTTTTTTTTGGGTGGATTTCTTGTGTATATAAGCATGTTCTACTTCATATGTATGTTCTGTTTGATTGCCCCAGATTTATTTTTGTGGGAATCATCTGTTTCTTATGAGCATGTATGTCTATCCCCAGATTTGTTTGATTTTCATATATGATCTGTTTGATTCATCTCAGATCATCCATTTTGTTGATCATAAATGTTATTCTATTCAAATTTCTTTATACATTTTTGTTTTTGTAGGAATCATATTTCCCTTTTCTGGGTTTCTTGTGTATATAAGCATGTTCTGCTTCTTATGTATGTTCTGTTTTATTGCCCCAGATTTGTTTTTGTGGAAATCATGTTCTATTTCGTATAAGCATGTATGTCCAGCCCCAGATTTGTTTGATTCATTTCAACCCCATATGTTTTTTAGAAATGAAAATGTTATATATTTTTCTGTTATTTAAATATGTGAATCTGCGGTCCTAAAATGATCAAATCCTTGTTTAAACGGATTGGTTTCACGATTTAAACAGATTGGATTGATTTTAATTTTTCAGGAACCGTAGATAACGGATTGGTCCTTGTTTTATCTCAATTCGGACCATGTTCACTCTAGTCCATAATGCCTGAATTAGTGAGGAGTTATAGGTCACATAAGTAGCCCAATAATGACATATAAATAATATATCAACACAATACATAATGGGCTTATGACGGACTAATAGATAGTTGAGTAGTCATGTATGTAATCTCCATTTGCTCCTTCCTTGCACCCGTGGGTTGGATCCATTCCTGCAAGTTATACCCAAATTCAATAACATACTTGCTTAAAAACTTTTCCATTTTCTCTTATCTAGTCAATGTGGGACTCTCCACATTCTCATATGATAACTTCTAGTTAAACCCCACTAATTCACCATTATATACTCATTTATATCAATTAATAAATTAATTACACAAATAAATATTAAAATAGACTAACAAATTTTATATATGAATAGAATTTTGTTTTCTTAATAATGAAGTTCTTACCATGGTTTTAAAAACCAGACCGGACCAGTCGGTTGAACTGGGCCAGTTCCAGTCTGGACTTACCCGCAGAACTGAACTGATCCCAAAATCGTCCTTTTTCACCAAAATCGAAAAACCTAGCAATAGAACCGGCTAAACTAGTGAACCGGACATGGTTTTTTGGAACCAGTCCTTCAATTTATTTATTTTCTTTCTTTCTTATATATATGTATATATATAATATAAAATAAATTGACTATAAGCTCTCTTCAAGGGTCTCTTTCTTGCTAGGAAGCACAGATACTTTGAAACGGCCCTCGTACGCGTATTGAATATATATCGGATACGGATACACATCTAATACGGCGGGATACATATCAGATACGGCAAAGAAGTATTCCATTTTTAATCTTTTTTTTTTAAATTTTAGATACATTTAAGATATGCGGGGACACTTCAAGGATATGCTTGGGATACTTTCGGGATATAGTAGGGCGAAAAAATAATTTTGAAACTTATAATTGGGGTCAAAGTGTAAAATAACAAAACTATATCTAAAATAAAACAAATAATTGGGGTCAAAGTGTAAAATAACAAAACTATATCTAAAATAAAACAAAAAAATCAAACAAACCCTACCTAGAGGAGTCATCGAACAACAGCAAGAGAGTCGTCGAACAACAACAAGTCGTCGTTCTCGTCCTTATCATCGATCGAGGTTCGTCACCCTCACTCTCATTCTGTTTCGTTATCTCTCTGTCGCTCGATCTCACACACTCTCTCTCCTCGTTCGATCTGTTTCTTCCTTTTTCTCGCTCGATCTCACACTCTCTCTCTCATTTAATCTCACTCTTCCTCTCACTCAATCTCACTCACATTCTCTCTCTAGCTCAATCTCACTCTTTCTCCTTCTCACTGTACTAATACTAACCCTTTTGAATTTTTTTCTTCTCTTTTTTTTTTTTTGGGAGCTGAGCTAAGCTACTGTGAGGTATTTTTTTTGTCCTTAATTTGAATTGTATTATGGTTGTTATGGGTGACGATGCTATATTGTTGAAATTGCTGAAATTTAATTGAATTGCTGAATTTTTTTGAATGTTCATGCCAAAAGATAACTACATTAATGTTTTGTTTTATTTCTTTACCAGATTTATAAATTTTAGGAAATGAGTTTGGGTATGGGGAACAAGTTGAAGCTATTGACCTTGAAGACTCTTAACTTTATAGGAATCTTTCTTTTTATGAAGTTGTCTTTTACTTTAGGTTTTATTTGTATACATACTATGTTATTAAAAATTATTAAAATAATATTTCTTATGAACGTATTCCAGCTGTACTCGTATTTTAGTTTTTCACATCGTATCGTACTTGTATCCCGTATCCGTATTTGTTCTTCCTAACTTTCTTGCGAAGAATCCCACTGAGAGCTTGAAAATATTGTGAAAGTCTCACCCTATTTATATTAAAAAAAAATGCCTTAAAAAAGAACTCAAGTAACCCATATGAGATTCAATTATAATATTTGAATCAAATTTATTAGAGGGAGAGTTGAAATTTTAATATCCCTCCAAAATTAATCATATTATTTCAATCAAATTATTTTAATCAAAATAGTTTGGAGGGAATATTGAACATTTGGTTTCCCTTCAAAATTAAAACTAGTAAACTATTTAAATATATGATGTTTTTATTTTAAAACTAAAAGCAAAAATTAGAATAAATATTTAAAAGAAATATTTATATATAATTTTAGGGAAAATTACAAACACCCCCGAGAGATTTGACAAAAATACGAATTCCCTCCTGAGATTTGAGAAATTACATCCCACTCACTGAGATTTATATTTGCATAACAAATTGGCCCCTAAGGTTTATATTTACATAACAAATTATCTACTCATTTGTTATGCACATATAAACCTCAGGGGGCAATTTATAAATTTTCAAACTTCAAGGGGAATCTGTATTTTAGTCAAACTTCGAGGGGGTGTTGGTAATTTATTCGTTCGTAATTTTTTAATACATATTTTTTATTTATATATAATATTTTTTTGATAAATAACATTTATATATATATATTTTTTGAAAAAATTAGAATAAATATTTAAAAATAATATTTATATATTTTTAATACATATACATATAATTTTATTTATATATAATTTTAATATATTTATAAGATAATTATGGCGTCACGGTTCGATTTTGGTTCAACTAAGGTTGAACTAGTGACCCATCTGTCCAATTTCTTTTTTGGTTCCCTTACCAATCCGGATTTTAAAACATTAGTTCTTACCTTCCTCCAAGAAAGGAACGCACACGAATTGTGTGGAAACAGATGATTTTCACTTATGTTTTTTTAGAAATATGAAGAAACTAGTTTTAGTTGGCATCTTTGTCAAAAGATGAATTCATATTTCAAAACAATTGAGTGATTTAAAAACATTCTCAAGAAAATTTGAACTTTTTTTTTATTTGTAACGTGTTTGAAGGAAGGTAGCATAAGAGAGAGGCTATGAAGCACAAGTACTCCAAAAATGTTACCATATAAGTACCGGATACTTATTGAGTGTGAGTACGTGTAACGTTATAACTGCACGTATACCGAGTATGCTAAAAACGCACTGGGTATGTTTTATACTATCAGTATAATGATGGGTACGCAATGGGTACGTTTTTGGGTATTTCAAGGTAAAAAACGAATTGTTTTACAAATTAAAGGGTACGAAGCAATTTTGTTGGTTTATTTTAAAAAAAATTATTTAAATTTGGGGTATTATTGTAATAGACAAAACTTGAAACAAATTAAGGCCAAGTTTGACATGATTGAAAAAATACAAAAAGTTAAAAAGTCACTATCCTATTTAAGTCACATCATCTTATTTAAATCACATCACCTCTCTAACACATTATTTCAAACCCAACCCAAACCCAAACCCAACCTATATTTCATAAAAAGTCAAAAAATACACTTATTTAGTCTTCTCAAACTATGCCTAAAATTAGGAAATTAGGGTTCTACTCTATTCGATTCTCTCTCTCTTTTTCTTGAAACACAGAGACTCCCAAGCGCTGAAGAACTCCTTCCTGCGAAGCTATTGAAGAGAATCGAAGAACTCCCAAGAGAATCGAAGGTGCTGATCGATTCTCTTCTTCAAAGATCACATTCCGGTAAGTTCATCTTTGATTCTTCATCGTCTTCTTCTTCGATTCATCTTCCTCTTCTTCTTTGTTCTGTCCAGATCCAGATTTTCCAGTTCAAAACTTCAATTACTATAACCATTAATTTTGTTAATTCCATTAATTTTATAGTATCACATTAAAGTCTCATTGATATTGTGGAGATATCATAACGTTTAGACTCATCTTTCCTTATCTTTATTGTAGGGTTGTTGTTGTTCCAAAGTATTCATTCTTATCAAAGACATGCGACGACCGAAGGTGGAGGTGTTCTCGGTGCGCATCAACCACATCGACGGAGTGAAGCTCTACGGCACAATCACAGTCACCGACGGACAGAGTTCTCAATCCATCTACAACCGATCAAGAGATCATTACTGTTAAAATTGATGTATGTATTATTGATTGATACTGTTTTGATGTATTGTATGTACATTATATAGGAGATGTGAAGTGGAGGTGGAGTGGTGGAGTAGGTGAAGTGGAGGTGGTGGTGGTGTAGTGGGTTAGGTTTAGTGGAGTAGGTGAGGTGGTAGTGGTGTAGTGGGTTAGGTTTAGTGGAGTAGGTTTAGGTGTACATTAACAATTACGAATCCATCAGCCCGGGCCAAACCGCTTTGCTGACTGGCCCAGCTCGATCCATCTCAGCCTGCGACTGCTTCACCATCGACGTGGCTCTCAAGGATAAGGACAAATTGTCTCCGGACGATGATGTCAGCAGCGAGCAGATACCGTGGAACGTTTACAACATCACCAACAAGTATGATGAGCCCTTATACGAGGACGTTCCTGGCAAGAATGGTTCGGTGACGGTCAACTACGTAGTGTTCAGGAATGCGGTGGGGGCTACTGTGGAAGTTACGCTCGTAAACCGAGGTGGGGAAAACTCGGCCCATGTTTACGAACTGCTTACTGCTCGCAATGGAAATTTCATGAATGAAAGCGTGCTGTTTCGGAAGAAATTAGATGATGAGCACGTAGATGTAAGGCCTGAGCAGCCCATCCCGTTGTCGAGATCTGTGTTGGCCGTGCCATCGAACTCCTCCCTCATAGTTTGGGCAGCTCTGATGGATCACCATGGTGAGATTGCCAAGGGCACTGCAGAGTTTCCTGCTCAACACTCCGGTACATCTCAGAAGAATATTTTCGGAGAGCAAGGTGAGATCCGCGTTAAGGTCACTTGGACAAGATGGTGAGACCGACGAATATATATATAATATGTCACTTGTCATTTATGGCGAGTGTTTTGTTTTAATAAGTTGATTGTAGCTTTGGTATGGTTGTTTCAGATTCTACATCATTGATTACATATAAAATAATTAATCTGTTTTGATGTTGTTAAATTGTTTGGCTGTGGATATTGATGAGCATAAAAGTGATACTTCTCACAATTCAGTATTTGAGCTTCGTTCACAGGCTATTTTTCCATGTCAATTTGTTTTTTGCGGCCCTAGCCTAAGTCCGATTACTGCCCCGATGTGATTTTTGGAGAGTTACCGGAGTTTCTCCAAGCTGTATCACGACCTGCACACACCACCAGATAATGAGGAGAGAGAAAAATTGAAAAGCAAAGGGTGAAGAGAGAGAAAATAAAGACAAGTTGTTATAAAAACTTGAAGTTATTCTTACTGGAATCTAATTTTCTATAGTGGTTGTTGAGGGTTCAATTCTAGTTTAGGGTTTAAAGCTTCTGATTTTTCTTCCCTTTCTTATAATAATGACATGATTTCAGTTGATCAATTTACTCTTCACTTTCTTTTCTTAAGAGTAAAACAGATTCAAACCTTTTTTTTTTCAAAGTTTTTCTCGGAGCCATCACTAAAATGGCGAGTGATGGTGCTACTAATCTTTCTCGCACTTTCAAGTACTTATTCGGTTAGTTTAACTCTCCATTTCAACTCTCTCTCTCTCTCTCTCTCTCCAAATGTGTATGATTTTGTTGTGTGTGTGTGTTGGGGGAGAACAGCTACGCAGTTCTTGTCAAGGGGAATCCCATTCATATTCAATTCGTGGATCATCAGACACGTCACTGCAAAAGATAATTCGGTAATTTGCTATTCCCACTAATCTCAGTTCCTCTATAGCTAGTGAATGCTGTTTCTTGTTTGAGAAATTCAGTTAGTCCAATTGTTCAGATAGATAAACAAATTGACAGATTTTGTTCTTAACTCTTGTGTATTTCATTGATAACCTCGCTTTCTATAGCTAATGAACGCTATTTTCATTTGGGAAATTCAATTAATCAAATTGTTGAGAGAGAGAGAGAGAAAGATTGATTGATTGATTTTGTTCTAAACTCTTGTTAGGTATTTTATTGATGGAGAATTCTACTATACACATCACATATCATGTTATGACATTATTTTGAGATATTTGGTTATGTCTCGTGTAATAGTGTAGGGTTTGGTTATGTTTTTATTTTTATTTTTTTTATGATGCAAAAAGTATGAAGTTATACCATTTTCTTCTTTAGTTATAAGGTAGTGTACCAAAGTGTTTCCCTTTATTGATAACCTCAGTTCCTATAGCTATGAATGCTATTTTTGTTTGGGGAATTCAATTGAGAGAGAGAGAGAGAGAGAGAGAGCTGGTGTGAATTGTTTTGAAGTTTTGGTCCCCACTCTCTATGACCTGAAATATGTTTGCGTGCTCTTTCTAATTTTATTGAGTTCTCTTATTTTCTTTTTCCTGGAATACATACACACATAATAAGATCTTGCTCTAGAGTGATGATTTCGTGGCATGTTTCAGGAATCCATATTGTTTTTGTTGATTGTGTTCTTAGGATGAAGTGTTTGGCATATATGTCACAAAAACTTCAGATGTTTTCAAAACATCAGAAAGCATGAGCTGGATTCAAATGCAAAATATCACCACTCCTTTAATATAGACTGTTTGAAATGTCATTTTTGTAATCGTTCTCTAACCTATGACTAATATTATTTTCTTGATGTAGCTAAGGATTATTATGCATCTATTAATTGTTTAATTATTTATCATGTTGTGAACTTAAACCATAGGTCATGGAGGTTGTTTGATAGCCCCACTAAATGCTGAACTCTGAAAATTTTAAGTGGATCTTCTATTAATTGCAAGAATAACACACAGTAAGCTGTCACTTAAATATGAAATTTTACGTAAAAAAAGGTTTGAATTTTAAGTTGGTGCAACTTGACAGTCATTGAATGCTGACATACTCTCTCAAACGAGGTTTTTCATCTTATTTGACAAATTCGTCCTTGGAGTTTCTGTTTAAAACTTCAGGACTAAAATTTTTCATTGTTCAATCTTAAGTTTTATCAAACATCCTATAGACTATAGTCATGAAAAGTCCAACCAGTGTGCACCCTTTATTAATTTTTATGTAAGTAGGTGAACTGAACCTTATCTGACATCTTTCATCTTTTCTGGATATTTCAGGGATCTTGTGCTTCCATCCATCTAAGCTTACATTTTCCCTTTCTTATGCAGCTCTATGCTGTGCAATTCCATCTGTTTGTCACCTGTGTCTTCTTCCTTAGTCGAGAGGGTTTTTGGCGAGCATGCATGAGAGCAGACATTAAATGGTTACTTCCACATGCTTAAATTGATGCAATTATCTGTTTTTGTTATCTGTTGTGTTGAAGCATTACCAATTTTTTGCCCATTTGCTTGATTAGTTTTATTTATCTTTTACTATAAGTCATATTTTTCAAAGGGCTAAAATTCTGAAGTTGATTATAACATGAGATTTCTGAGTGCTCTTGTTATTACTTTATTTATATTTATTAGATTGAGGCCCAGTAAATGTACATGAAGTTAGAGCATGATATGGATAAGGTAAGGGAGCTAGCCAGTGAAACAGCTTTGAATTATGGATTCATAAGTTCACAACCAACTTTTATTTTTGGGTGGTTCCCGTTCCGTTCTTTCTTTGTAACCAAGTCCTCTCTGGATTAAATTTATTTTCCTTTGTCAGAATTTAATGCAGCTGATCAAGGAGAACTCTTCAGTTTTCTCTCTGACATTTTGACATTCTTTTTCTTAATCTCCACAACTATAACCATAAGCTTTTGATGTGTAAATTGGTACCTTTTTTTGTTCTTCTATGCGACATTACTTTTCTTGCAGTGATGGTGCTTCAACAGGAGAAAATGCATCAAAAATTTTGAAGGTAGCCTGGATGACTGTCCCATTTGGAATAGTTATTACAGTTGCAGCATGTGTCTTCTGGTGGCAAGAACTAAGTTATTCTAATCCATATGCACAAGCTATCTTGATTAATGGTAATCAGCATGTATACATTAGCAGTGTTGGACACGGGGACATGTACCTTTAATATATTTATTTATTTTTTGCAAAGGACACGCTGGGACACACGTGTCCAGAATCAGAGTTCAGAGCTTTGCCCTAAATCTCAAAATCAGAAGAGGAGAAGAATAAGTAGCTATGTATCTGGTTAATCGGTTGGACATGCCAAAGAAGAAGCTGGTTCGTCGGTCACGTAAGTCATCTCTCTCTCGCCTCTCACCTCTCTTCTCTCTCTCTCTCTCTCTCTCTCTCTCTCTCGGCGCCTTGTCTCTTTCTTCTCTCTTATCGCCTCTCTCTCTTCTCTCTTTCGCTTCTCTGTTCTCTCTTTTTTTCTTTTCTTTTTATTTTTATTTTTTTATTTCTTTCTGATTATACATTATAACTATTAAATTTATAACTATAATTTTTTCTGATTGTAATTTATAACTATTAAGTAAATAATTATAACATTTATAATAATTTTAATATATTTTTTAATTTCTCTATTTATTTTTATTGCCTTTATAAATAGAAATGTAGTGATTTATATATATATTGAATTAATGTTAGTTTTTATTAAATTTGATTGTTTGGTAACATAATATTAATCTATATAGCAAATATATATTTAAAAAAAAAAAATTTGTTGCATCTCCCGCTGTGTCTGTATCTCCATTTTTTCTGAAATCACCATGTCCCGTATCTGTATCCGTGTCTGTATCCATATCCGTGCCCGTGTTTGTGCATCATAGATAATAATATAAATTAAAAAAATTTATTGGTTTTTGATGCCTTGATGGGGGTCTGGGAACCCATCAAAAGACCACATGGTGTCGCCCTTGGTCAAAGTAACTACTAGAAACTATGAAGATGGTCAGAGAATACCATTTGGACTCATTTGCCCATAATTTTTCAATTGTTTTAGCTGCTTCATCTGGAGTTGTCCAGAAATTATTTAGCCTATTTTTCCAAGCTCTTAAAAAAAAGATAATCAAATTATTTCGTATACAATTTGGGCACCCTGTCCAAATTTGCAATAGTCGTTTTTTGAAATTTCAAACCAAAGAATCTCTCTCTCCCTCTGTGTGACACATGCAAACAATTTTCCTCGTTCACCTAGCCATGAACTTATCATGATTGAAGCAAAAAGAAAATCTTCATTTTGAGTTATTTTTATTGCAAGTGTGCTGTTAGATGATATCTTTTTATGCACATCTATAAAATATTTTAGGTACATTGTTTTCTCTTAAATTAGAAGTGTAAACTTCATGGTCTGCCATGAGTTGGCTGCACATTTATGTGGTTATAGAGGCTAAGAAATTTGTGTTCAGTTAATATATCTGACCATTTATTGTATCATTGCACAGTTTGTTCTCACATTGAATTTGATATATATTTTTTTGAAGGGAATTTCTCTTGAATTTAATTTTTCTATGTTGATGTCTAACCTTACTCACCAGAAAAGAAAAGATGTCTAACCTTGTTATCATGCCCTGCAAGGGGAAAGAAACCTTGTTAGACTTTAACTTCATAAATTTCTGAAAGCTAGGTTGGCACAACTTTATAATGTATGCTATTTCTGTCCCTCATAAGCAGTAAACAATATGTTTTTCTTGGCAGCGGAAGATGCCCGGAAAAGCTGGAAGTTAGGAAGTTGTCTAACAGATGCTCTGAAGCTGGCTTTGTTAATTGGTACATTTTTCCCACATAGTTTATAACTTCCTGAATGTTTTTTATTTGTAGATTTCAACTTCTTATGTGGTCTCTATTTAGCACATGAAATTGTTCAGGCCCCAATATTTATTTTCATTGAGTTTTGCTTGCTTAAATGGTATTAAGTGTCTGATCAATACGTAAATCTGAGAAAATAGTGAGTGGATATGGGCTCTGACACTGTTAGTTGAGTCATAATAGGTGGGACTGCAGTGCTTGTTAAGCCTTCTGTGACACTTTGGAATTTATCAATTACCATGGTTCATATATCAGAAGCAATTTGTTTAGATTATTTGTAATTTTGTATCTGCAATTTGCTCCTGAAAAGAGGGTGTTTCATCATCAATTCAAGGCATGACCAACTTTTCTCTGATTTTTATGTTGTCAAATTACTTTTTGGATATAAAATTTTGAATTTGAACATAGTGACGAGGTATGCAGCAGCACTTGCAGTGTTCGTTTCTGTACTCTCTTGTTCTCATCGTTTTCCTTCTTTGTTCAGTACCACTTTTTGGTTCTTTTCTTTTAATAATTAAAAATGATTGGTTAGATGACATAAAATAAAGGAGGCATAACCTTGGTTCTCACAAGATATTCATCAGAAAACTCATACTCCTGCACGAAACCATCCCAAATTCTCTCTAAAATCCAAGAAAAGTCTCAAGGCATGGATTTGTCTTCCCCGAAGTAAAAAGATTAAAACATTTGCTTCCCGGCCAATGCCCATGTTGTTCCCTTCAGTAGGACCTCCACTCCTCTCCCAGCAAATACACCAAGATAAGCCAAGAGACACAGTATTCCAAAATTTGTCTTTTCCTTCTGCCAACTTTCCCTCCCTTCATCCAACTGTCCAACAACTCAAGAACTAATTTTGGAAAACTCCTTTCCACCCTAAAGTGATCTGAAAAATCCTTTACATGAGCTGCCAACCAAACAGAAATGATCAATTTGGAAAGGATTTTTGAACCCAAGACTTTAAGGGAATGAGGTCTTATAAGCACCCAGCAAATTTGGGTTTTGTAAGGCTAGTATTTGCCAGTTATGGTCATAGCACCAGATTTCAATATGAGAAGGCAACACATATCTTCTGAAGCAGGTCAATATGTGACCAGCTGAGTGCATCTGTGTAATTCCTGTGTTGGCACAAAACAAAATTTGAAAGGAGCATGTGGGAAGGTTAAGCTAGCATCAATGAGAGGCGCTACCAGAGAGTTTGCTAATGGACCAGTAATGCACAAAGTGCAATGACTGAAGAGTTTGATGTTGCTGAAATGAAGTGAGGGAGGGATATAAATTGTAAATCAGGATGGAGCTGAATGGCAAAACTGGATTCTTTTTGGTGATCACAAGAAATTAGAACCTATAATCGAAAAATCATTTGAAGTGTATGCGTACAACTTTTTTTCCCGTTGAACTGGTGCAAATTTTTTTGCTTCAAATCAGGAAATTCATCTTGTTGAGGTGGTCTTTAAATTCTGTGATTTGCTTCGATTGCTTCCTCCTTTTCTTGGCTTTCAGGATGTTACTTTTTATCTTGTAGGGCTTGTAGTTATGGCATTTGGCCCAAGCTATTCTTACTCTCTCATCAGATTGTTGTATGGCCAGAAATGGAGTGATGGAGAAGCATCAACCGCCCTCCAATATTATTGTCTTTATGTTATTACTTTGGCCATGAATGGTAAATAATCTTACGTTATTCTGTCTATTAATTATCTTTGCCTGCCTAAATAGAAAAATATTGTTTGCTTGTAGAAAATTGAATTATGTATATTCAATTTCCATATGTTACTACCTTTGTATTAATCATTTCCTTTCAGCCTTCTATTTGGCTTTTGATTTTAGAATGAGTTTAATTTATGATTCGAAAAACAACATTGCCCTTCCACAATTAGGACACCCAGTGCTTCAAGAGATTGTCAAACATATGGACTCATCCATCCAATTAATTGTGAAATCACGTAGGTGGACACGTAGGAAATAGGTCAAACACTCAATTCTAATTGCCAATTAAAAACCCATCAAGTGAATTAATTAATTCAATAATCCAATCACAAGATATATCAATTAATCATATGCCATCCTCACAATATCGTAGTGAATAAATGAAGATAATAGGCACAATGATATATGTTAAAAATCCTTTGGTAGCAACAATCCCCACGGTTAAAAATCACGGGCACCCCTGCTAGTAAAAAATTCACTAAATCACAAGTTTAATACAAAGACTCAGGTAAAACCTCTGACAACCTAACCCTGTATGAGTTTTAGAGTTGACGTCTTCCCCTTCAATCTTGCAAAACCAAACTCAACTTGCAAGTGGCTCTGACATGACTGTCAGTCTCCTCTTGTCTAGATCTCTGCTCCTTGCAGCTCAAATCACAGTTGGCCACATGGTTGAATTAACCAATGCACAGTGTGTGACCAAAGTGTTTACAATGTATTTGGTTTTGTAAAACAACTAGACACGAGCTTTTCAAATCAATTGTTATGCATATACATAATCCAATAAGTTTTCTTCTCTGTATGAGGGCTAGGTTTCCTAGACTCATAAGGAATATAGAAAGGTTGGGGCTGCTCTAGGATTCTTGTATATTTTAAATTGAAAGAACAAAGTCCCTATTTTATAGTTCTTCCAAACTAGAGATTAAAAAATATGCTTGCCCCACTCAAGCGCTCTTTGAGTGGGCTTCAAGTGGACCTCAGAGGATCTCTACAAAGCTAAATTGTCACCACCCTACTCAAGCATGCACACTACATCACAATTGTTCACTTCAAAGAACTTATTTTACATGTCAATAATAAAATACCCCTATTTGAATTCAATGGAATATCAAAATTATGAAATTCTAAATAAATAAAAATCAACTCTACCTACTAAGAACAAGAATTTGAAATTTTTATGATTGACGAAAAATAGCACTCTCCAAAGATAAGGTATTTGCACTAATCAAAGATGTTCTAAGTTAAAGTTTTTAGCTCTAAAATACAAATATGCAAAATGATTGGTCATCAGATATTCGAATTTAGGTGTTTTCACGTTTTGGTCATTCACAACTCTCGGAAACTAAGGCCTTATTTGGAACAAGCTTTTCATTGGATTATTTTTGTCTTGTTTTAAAATTTTTAATGCACATTCATTTTTGTAAAAAATTTCTTAGTCTAATGCAATATGCTTGTGCAATATTATACTTGAGATTGGATCAGCGTATGCTTTGTATTGTCTGTGAATGTCTCGAGTCTTGAGCACTTGGACACTTGGACGTATACACCTAGCGCATGTTTTGTCTAAGGAAATTGCCAACACATCTTAAATCCCATAAGAGATTGCACTCTATTTGTGGTCAAAGTTGTTCTTGGATATGGCTCTTGGAACTTTGTACAGTTTCTTAAATGAAATATGTGATATAGCTGAGTGCAGTGTTTTAAAAAGCACACTTAGGTGCGCACCTCAGCGCAAGGGAAATTGAGGCGTAACCCTATGCTTCAAACAGGTCAAGGCGAGGCGATGAATGGAAGGTGCACAAAAGGCGCTGAGGCGCGCACCTAGTTCTAAGGCACAAGGCAAGGGCTTCATGCGCTTTATGTATTTTTTTTACTCCAACGGTTGATTAAGTATTTTTTTTGTGTGCATACCCGCAAGGAATTAAAACCCTTCAATATAAAAAGACCAAATCTGTTGAAAAGAGATCAGAAAAGTGATTAAAAAAATAAATAAATATATAAAAAACCTAGGTGGAGAGCGATTAAAAAAATCGATTGACATTGATGTGGAAAAGAGGACGTCTTCTTTAGGTTCTTCTTTGGGTTCTCTTTATCTCTTCTTCACTGGTTCTCTCCATCTCTTTTCCTTCTTTGCTGGGTCTCTCGCTGCCTCTTTTTTTATTTATTTCCTTTTCTGTTTCCGTTACTGTTTTGTTAGGGAAAATAGATGATTTCTCACAAATAAATCAATCAATGGGAATAAAAACTAATGTAGAAAAATTTAATCAACAGTGATACAAGAATTTTACATGATTCTCTCAATGTGAGGTACATCACGGCATCACCTATTTACCTAGTGGTTATTGTTCATCTATTAAAGTTTGTATTATAACTAACCTTTGAGCGCACTTGATTTCCTTTAGGCAAGTAGAGTTATGTGGTAACAAAATTATCTTTAACGACATACCCTGAGATAGTATCTCCAGAAACTTAAAACTTTCCCTTTTAATTTGTGAATCAGGAACATCTGAAGCATTTCTGCACGCAGTTGCTACAGAGAACCAAATCAAGCGTTCAAATGACCCGTTACTTGTATTCTCATTGATCTACATTATTATGAATGTCGTACTCATACGATCAGCTGGTGCAGTTGGGTTAATCGTTGCAAATTCCTCGAGTACCCTTTTACCTTGGGTTGATAACAACTGGTCAATTTTGGCCCTACTTAGTATCAATTTAGTCTATTTTAGTTTGCTTGGCTTGAGCTCTGCCTTGAGCTTCATTGTATTTGCTTCATGATACCAAAATTCTTTTTCATTTTTTTCTTTGCAGTTATTTTTTTGGAATATTTATTCATATGAGGACACCATGCAATTTTTTTGCATATATGTAGGTCTTAGATTAGAAATTAGAGGTAATAAAATGAGAAACTATCTATAAAAAGATGCACCCAGTGCACGAAACTCCTGCTTAAGCGAGATCTAGGGAAGGGTTGATGTACGCAGCCTTACTCCCGTGAATGGAGAGGCTGTTTCTGCGACTTGAACTTGAGAAACTATCTATGCACAATATAATTGGTAGCTTATGTGTAACTCATTACTAATAATTTTAAAAAATATGTTTTTTACAAACGTATCTTAACTGTACCTATATCCTATTTTTTTAAGTTTTGTCGTATTGTCGTATCTGTATCGTATCGTATCTTTATCACGTATCCATATCCCGTATCCGTATCCCTCTCGTTTATAATGTGACTTAGTTGAGAGCTTGGTCAGCATCACTTGGGGTTGCGTTTGTAGCCATCATAATTATGTATACTTGCACCAATGAGCATGGCGATGGAATTGTGGTGCCGAGCATCCAAAAATGACTGAATGGCTGCGCGAATTTATCAAGGTAGTGGTCGAATAACTTATGTGTGGCCGAGTAATGTGATGTAGGAAATGGAAATTTTCGAATAATGTTGCAGAATAAGTTAGCAACTTGATAAAGTTGTCGAATAAATATTACTACTGTTGAAAAACGACTTATATTTATAAAATCCCTAATAATGTTCTCGGCAAATTGATATATATAAAATTCCTAATAATGTTCTTGGCAAAAAGGTAAGGGTTGTTAGGCAACAATGTTCACGGCAAACTCCTAATACCACTATATGCATATATAAAATTCATTTTAATAGCTGAATTAATTGTATCCACTGGGGTGCCCTACGGAAAGGTTAAGTGATAAAAGTTAGTTCCCAATAAATAATACTATGCAACAATATAGATATTTTTAGAAAGAGAATCAAGACCCAATTTCCAATTCACTATCTTCGTCTTGTTCCAACTTTCTTGAACAAAATTGATATTCATTCAATAAAATTTGTGAGCAAATATATAGACATATACATAAAGAGATCTTGTTGAGCTCATCATCAACCCAAATAAATTGCCAACTAACATACTCGGCAACTTGTGGTGTCTCGTTGGCCAAACAATTTTTAGAGAGAGAAAGTAAAGACTTAAGTTTGGAGTTTATAGAAATTGTTAGTATAGATATATGAATGTATATTCCAAGAAAAGATGAAATTTTATCAATCAGCTTGAACAGTGTGAAATGCACTTGCATAAGTTGGTAAAGTGCCGACTAACAGCTTTAACAGCTTCATCAAGAAAATTTCATCACTCAACTTTAACATGTCGAAAAGATGCTTTCTTCATGAAAAGTGAAACCCATTTGTAGAGAGAAAATGGAGATGTAAAAGATTCACAATGAACAAAGGCTCTATTTTGTAAGTACAAACATATGTATATCCAATCCAAGAACCAATCTTAAAATAATTTTTAGTGAGCAAATAAATCAAAAGTGTTGTCAAATTTTTACTTACAAAAACATGTTTGTTGTGTTTTTCGTTGATCTCGTTCAGTCGTTTCCACTGATGGCGCTAATTATGAGATCCAAAATAATCCCTCACATGGACTGTTGTTGAGATTCAACAAAGACAATCCCATGAAGCTGCAAGAGATAAGTATGGTTGATGCCATCCAACTGGAGTTACTGGTTGGGGACATTCTGATGATGAAGTTAGAATCTATGAATGAAGAGTATAGATCAAGAATAGTCAAGAGTGCTGTGTGTGGAGTGTAGAGGAAAAGACATACCTTTTGTGTATAAGGTGTCCTCCTTGTATAGGGAATGGAAGATATTTGTTTGGGCTGGGTCCATTATAGGCTTTGCTTGGATTAACCCCAATAAGTTGGTATATATATATATTTCTGGTTCCCACAATTTTCATTACATATTCAATGATCATAAAATAATTATATAAGTTTATATTTATAAAAAATTGTTATAATAATTGAGATGAATTTTTTACAAACATTAGATGATTGGAGCAAAACGACGATGGTGGATTATTAATCAGAGACAAATTGATGAGATCTGATGTGGGTTGTCTGCTTTGGGTTATGGTATGTACAGTTTCATCTCATGCCATGCAAATTCTTTAGTAATATATTACATTTTGAATGCAGACTTGGCTAATATATAATAGAGTTACCATTGTTTTGCAAAATTCATTGTCCATTAAAATGGAGATATTAGCAGAATTTTTTCTTTAAATAACGAGAAATCCATTGACCCCACCTTCGGTAGACCCGGAGTAAAATTTTGAATGTGCAGCCTTTTGCTAGCTTCACATATCAGGTGAAGTAAAGACTCGAACTTAAGACTCCCTAATTGTTTACTGGAGACTTACCATTGAGCTAGTCCTCACGAGTGATATTAATAGAACTTGGTACTTGAGTTTGGGCTTGGATACGAGTCAATTTGACCCGTTTACACCTCTTAAGACGGAATTTAAGAACTCTAACCACCAAGCTCATGTTACTGTTGGAACTTTGAGATGTTGTAATCATTCGATTCTTCGAGAACCTCCTTCTAGATGACTGTATTTTGATAACATAATTTGTGCTTCAAGTCGCATTATGACGTTACTTTCCTAAAGACAATATTTGCCCCCACTAGATGGTGTGTATTGGGTTAACAGCAAATCGGCCTTCAGGATATAATAAAGTCTGATCTACAGATCAATCTATCTGTGACTACACAGATGAAGATAGACCAAAATACTCTTGATATAATCAAGAAAACCAAGACACTGATATTCAAATTAATAAGAAATGAATATCAGAAAATTAGTAGAAATAGAAAGCTAATTTTAGAGAGAGAGAGAGAGAGAGAGAGAGATTGAATTGTAGAGAAGAAAATCTGAATTTTGGAATGAATGAATATGGCTGAATTGCAGCCTATTTATAGGCTTGGATGCACCTGATCAGAAGGGTCATATCCCTTGATCGTATCTCATCAGCTACGGAGCAGATCTGACCGTTGGATCGAACTCTAACGGTGTAGATCTCTCCTTACACCAATAGGTGCAACGACTAGACACACCCAATCGCGATAGGACACCATCTGGACAGTCTAATCGTGTGGACGCTCGATCTACAATCTTGATTGCATCGATCGAGTTAAGACACACGATCGTCCAATTAGACGGCTCAGTTCACCAATTGATCTGCCACGTGTTGCGCTGATTGTGCTCCTCCTGATCCCTGCCACCCCTCCGCCACACGGACATCTTGATCACGCCACGTCATTGCTACCTAGGTTTATGTAGCAAATAAAAAAGTGCCTTCATGGCGCCTTGCTGCTGATGCGTCCTTGTTAAGTGCAAAGTGCACTATCAAAGTGCCACATTGCACCATTGCCCATGCCACATTGCACCACTGCCCACGCCACGCGCGCGCATGTGCAGATGGTGCGAAACACCATCCTTGTGGTATGTGTGCAATGCACACAAGCATTCTCCTCACAATTGCGTATTCAAAAGGATATTCCCTGAAGCTCTTTATTAGGTGCTTCATTTTTTCTCTTCTTTCCTATGTGGGACAAGTTCCCATAGCTTGTTTATACTTTCCTAAGGAAAATTAGAAAGGTTTTTGAAAACCCAAAAGATCTTTTATTAATTTTAGAAAATTCCCCAACAATCCCCCACCAATTTTCAAAATTCAAGATGATAATTCTTGGTTCAGTTGGTAGCCTTATGCATAGGTGAAGCTATCTTATAATTTGAACCATTCACTTAGTGAATACACGTCAAAGTTAGTCAAGATGGCATAGTAGACTTATCTTTAAACAAGTGATCTTATACGAATAACCGAATATGTCTCATGCACAGTACAGGTTACCTCAAGTATTCAAATAGCCGACACATGGATTGACATTGTGTCTATATCTTATTTTATAAGCGCTCTAGAGTTAAGCCCCTGGACGTCACAGGAGGCGGCACCACCTCCACACTCATATAGGTAAGCTTTCTGAGAGTACCTGTAGACCGCCCGACTTTCTTCACGTGCCCCCCCTTTCGGAGAGGACGCGAATTGGTCTGTTATTACAGTTCGGACTTCTGTCACGGTTCTGAATCTAATCTCACAAAGTGCAATGTAAGACTAATAAATCACCAAAGAGTCCAATCCGACAAATCATTTTGGAAAATCATATTTTGAATCATATAATGTCAAAATTGGACTGTTTTGCTAGATTACAGAGTCGCCACCTAAATATTTTATTTTTGAAAAAATTTAGGAAATCCTGACTCGTGCCAAAGGCCACATGTCCGTCATCACCAAAGTTGTCTTGGCTCGGGAACTTGGGTACGAGGGGGGAAGGTCATTAAATGAGCACCCCTGCTCGCCCGATCAAATGATCGGCCTCTACTAAGTATGATATGTTATTTTTATAAACACATGTGTTCTTGTCCAGTTATTAGCTATCTTTACTATGTGATGCGCACAGCATAAAGTATAGACTAAATCACAAGAATTGGAACAAAACAATTCATGTTTGTTTATGAAAATGGTTTGAAAGTGCCACTCACAAGTGGGCTAAAGCGCGGATTTGCCACCCTCGGGTGGGCTTAAAACATGATGATTTGCCACTTCACAAAGTGGGCTTAAAACTCACATTTGATGAATTGTCCCAATTCAAACAATAAAGCCTTCACCCACAGGCATTCATGCAATTTATCACTTAAGCAAATAGCCTCATGACAAGTATGCTATCATGGCAAAACTCATACTCATGCAAGTATGCTAAAGCGTAATACTCACAGTGTACTCCAAGTCAAAATAAAAGCTAGTTAAAAATCATGCATGATCCTAACTATACAAGATGCCTAATGCAACACATGCAAAAATGCAACTAAATAGGTTCGGCTATCTAAGATAGCATATGAATGCAGCAGTTTGATACACGTATTGAAATAGGTATTGAAATACGATGCACTTTGAATGATGCGCCGAGCCCAGTGTATGCAATACAAATGAATGATGCTAACATACAAGCATAATGTATGCTAATTGAAACGTGTCATAATCTAATCATCGAAAGCGGGTAAA